AGAGGGAGAGACAGAACCTCTAGGAGACTCCACGTTGAGCATGGAGCCTAACACAGGGCTTGATCCCATGACCCCAAGATAATGACCCAGGCAAAAACTAAGAGTTGGATGCTTAACCCACTGAGCCACCCAGGTTCCCCTTATTGTCACATATTTTATTTCAATATATATCTTGAGCTCCACAAGCCATTATTATTGTTGTTATTATTATTATTATTATTATTTTATATAGTCAATAATTTATTTCAATCTATCCATATATTTATCCTTTCCATTGCTCTTCTTTCTTACATCTCTGAGCTTTTACCTGGGATCATTTTCCTTCCGCCAGACCCCTGGTAATCTCATTTGTGTGTGTCTACTAATGACAAATTATCTACATTTTGTGTTTGTTAAGACTTCTGAGGGGCACCTGGGTGGCTCAGTTGGTTAAGCATCTGCCTTCAGCTCAGGTCATGATCCCATGGTCTTGGGATCAAGCCCCACATCGGGCTCCCTGCTCAGCGGGAAGCTTGCTTCTCTTCCACTCCTCTGCTTGTGACCCCTCTCTCTCTGCCAAATAAATAAATAAAATCTTTAAAAAAAAAAAAGACTTCTGAGACAGAATTCTATGTTGGAACTTTTTTTCCCTTACAGCATATTAAAGATGCCATTCGATTTCCTTCAGCTCATATTGCCAGTTTTAAGAAGGCAGTTGTAAGTCTGTCTTGCTCCTTTGAAGGTAATCTGTCTTTTCCCCCTTGCTGTTTACAAAAGATTTCCTTTGTCATTGGTTTTCAGCAGTTTTAGTCTATTGTGTCTAGGTGTGTATTCTTTTTATTTATCCTGCTTTGTGTTTGGAGTGCTTCTTGAAACTATATGTTCATGTCTTTCATCAGTTTTGGAAAATTCTGAGCCATTATCTTCTCAAATATTATTTAAGCCCCATTCTGTCTGTTTTTCCTTCTGACGCTCCACTTACACATATGCTGGATCTTCTTGCTCCATTCTCTGTGCTCACTATTCTCTTTCCTGTGTCTTTCCTCCATTTTTCTCTCCTAGAGTGAATATACTTCACTCTGTGTATTTTCTTTTGTTGTATCTTCCAGTTTACTAATTCTGTGTTTAAGTGGGTCTATTATGTTCTTTAACCCCATCCATAAGGTTTCTCCTCCTGGTTACTGTCTTTTTTACGTTCCAGTATTAATGTTTAGTTCTTTTACAAATATTTTATTTTTAAAAATGTTCAGTTCTGTAATGAAATTCTTCACGTTTCCTTTTATTTTACATTTGTATCTGATTACTCTAAAACCTGGAGCTGTTGTGGGGCCATTCCTTTGTCTGTTGTTTCTGCTGGTTTTATGTATGTGTATCATTGCTCAGCTCTTTTAGAGCTCTGGGTTAGCACCAAAAATCCAACATTACACTGTTGCTCAAAAACCTTCATTAGCTTTCCATTGCATTCTAAACAAGAGCCTGAGTTTTGGTCTAGCATCCATATCTCTCTAGAATTTGGTCCCAACTCACCTGTTCAGTCTCCTGTGTAATTTTCCCCCAGCATCTACCATCCTTCTTTGGTACAGCTGGCCAAACTGTACAGTTAACCAGGACTTCTCCTTTATGCATCTAACATGCCATTCCACACAGTGCAGCAAAGAGCATGGATTCGGGATAGAGGGAGACCTGCCACTGACTAGCCACGTGACCTTGAGAAAGTCACTTTGGTTTTTCAAGTTGTAGTTCTATCATCTGTCATAATGGTGAATAAGTCTACCTATCTCACTCTGGTTGTGAGACTGAAGTGGAATAGGATATGTGAAGAGCTGCAGAGGACAAATTTTGCTTAGTCCTGCATTCCTTTTGTTGGGGGAGAGGCTTCCCATCCTTTTTCCACTCTTTGGTTATGTTGGCTGTCAATCATTGCAGCTTACTTCCCTGGACCAATCAGAAGCCTTCCTAGGAGTTTTTAAATTAGAGTTGAGGGAAGAGAAGTAGCATCTTCCAGATGGGAGAGCTGGGAAATGTGAAGCAGGGAGTGGGTGGTGTCCAGGTGGCCCAGACAGCCTGGGTAAGAATGAAGCCTAGAGAGAGGTCTGGTGGCATTTAACTTTGGGTTCTTATTATTTCTGAGGCCAGCTGCAACTCTTTCCATATTAAGCAGACTCATCCATTGGTTTTTCTTTTTTTTTTTTTTTTTAAGATTTTATTAATTTATATGAGAGAGAAAGAGCAAGAGGGTAGAAGGGGCAGAGGGAGAAGGAGAAGCAGGCTCCCCACTGAGTAGGGAGCATGATGCGGGACTCGATCCCAGGACCCCGGGATCATGACCCAAGCCAAAGGCAGACGCTTAACCAACTGAGCCTCCCAGGCTCCCCACCCATGTGTTATTCTTTTTGCCCAAGGTGAATTACTATAAGTTTCTGACTCTTGCATGAAGTCACTTGATGAACTCAGGGGTCAAGGGTCAGCGGACCTTCTGATGAGGTCATTGTCCTCCTCCATTCACTCCCTTCCTCAGGCCCCCTCACCACACCAGTTTTGTCTTGTTGTCCTCTCTGATCCTTATCTTCCCACCAGATCCAAGGCTGTATGTGAGCAGAAAAATAGTCATTTGACTTGGTGTTCCTAGTGAGCTAGCTTGAGGTTCAGTCAGTGTTTGTGGATGAGTTTGCTAACTCACAGGCTCAGACAACAGCAGTGCATCAGAGTCCTTGCCAGGGGGATATTTAGAAAGCTCCAATATGGTTGCCCGGACCTTTGCCAGCTTCCAAAGAGGGCTGAATTTGGATTTCTATGAATCTCACTGGCTAAACTACCTTCATTTCCACTCAGACCCACCAAACCCAAGTTTCTAGAAGTGGGGCTGAGAGTCTGCATGTTTGCAAGCATCTGGGACATTTTAATGCAACCAGAACTAGAGAATCTCTGAGCTGAGTGTTTTTCTGATGCCTTGAGTTAATAGTTTTACTTCTTTAGACTCCTGAACAGAGCAGTTTGGGGAAAGTTATGATCAAAACAAGCCAGTGAGCATAGTTTCTTATATTAATGGTCATAGAGGCCTCATAATTACAGGACAGCACAAGTGTCCCATAATTAGCATCTGCTCTTCTGTTCCTGGGGGTCAATTGTTCTGCAACAATGGCCATGCTCAGCCCTGGACAGCCCGCAGCTCAGCTCACTCCCCTCCACATTCCATTCCCGTGACAGAAGAGTCCCTGGGTTCTCAGGACTTTAACCCTCTCCTGCCAGGACCCCAAGGACCAGCACTAAGGTGGGAGAAGTTCATGATCTGGCCTGGGCATCCAGGGAAGTGGGAGAAAGATTCTGCAGAATGACTATTTGTGTGTGTTCCTCAGACCCAACAAATTCACTTTTGGGATTGAGGCCCAGGGATGCTCCTGGAGATTCTGACTGTGGCAGAATTTGAGACACACTGACCAATTCCCTACCTCTTCCATGCTGAAGAGTTGGCTGAAAGGGCAGGGGTCTCACTCCTGACATATATCTGTCACTCAGAGCAGAAGAATAGCCTTCCCCCTTCTCAGCGGGATTATGAGTGACTAGCAGCAGCCTGATGCCCTGCCCCTAAAGCCTGTGTCAATTCCTGGCCGCCAGCCACCAGCTGCGTGATTTCAGTAAAGTACTTTAATCTCTAAGCTGCAGATTCCTCATCTATAAAATGAGGCTAAGAACACTCACCTCTATTATTTGCATATTTAGATTGTTTCCATTTTTTTTTTCTTCTTTTACACTATTCTGGCATTATCAGTTTAGCATTCAAAGTTCTGGCCAATGGGTGATCCTTGGGGTCCATGAAAATCACCTGGGGAGCTTTTACAAAATAAAGACCTAGGTCCATTGAGTTGAAATCCATGAGGACACAACTAACTCAGGAACGGGTCCTTGGAGAAAGCTCTGCAGGTCCTCCTGATGGACACCATCTGTCAAAACCCACTGGACTGTGGCACGTAGAAAGTGTGTGATTTTGCAGAGCTCCTGACCCTTGTATCCAGCTACCTGGCTGCTCTCTCCACTTGGAAGCGAACAGACGTGTGCAGTGGAGTTTGTCCCAGTAGAATTCCTGATCTCCCCCAAACCTGCTCCACCCTCTGTCTCAGTGGCAGCTCACTTCATGGCAATTATTACAGTCTCTGATGCTGAACATTCTGGTCTTCACCACACTCATGGTAAGGTATCTTTACCATCCTCGTGGCTCCCACTCCGTCCTAAGCCACTGTCACCTCTCTCCTGAAAAAGTGCCATAGCATCTGAACACCTCCCTGTTTTTGCCCTTGACCTGCTCTGGTCAAATGTCACCTTACCAAGAGTCCTTCCACGAATACTCGACCTCAGATGCAACCCCCTTCCTCCAGTCCATTCTCCTGCTTTATTTTTCTTTTCTGCACTTACTACTAGCTCCTATAATTCTGTTTATTTTGTGATTTTCTTTTTTTTTTTTTTTTTAAGATTTTATTTATTTATTTGACAGGGAGAGAGAGAGAGACAGCACAAGCAGGGGGAGTGGCAGGCAGAGGCAGAGGGAGAAGCAGGCTCCCCGCAGAGCAGGGGGAGCCTGATGCAGGGCTGGATCCCAGGGCCCTGGGATCATGACCTGAGCCGAAGGCAGTCGCTTAACCAACTGAACCATTTTGTGAGTTTCTCAACTCTCTATAATATAAGTTCCACAAAGCATGGATTTTTGTCTGTTTTATCAGCACTGGGTCCCCAGTATGTAAAACCATGCCAAGTGATAGACACTCAATATATATTTGTTGAATGAATGAATAAATGAATTGCCCGCAACATCTAGGCATTATCATCTGCATTTTATTGACCAGGAAATGGAGGTTCAAAAGATAAGTTATTTCTCCCAAGGCCACACTGTGAGTTGAGAGAAAAGCTGAGTTTTGAAATTAGGACTGACATCCTCCAGAGATCATTTCTCCACATGTGGAGGAGGGGCCATTTTTGCAATCCACCACAATTTCCTTCTAAATGTAGCTCCTGCTTTTGCATTTCAGGTCAAGATTGCTGTACCAGTAGAGCAACATGACAGCTTAATGTGAAGACTAAGGGCTTTCTTGCCCCCGTCCCCCGAAGCCCTCTGCGCTGGGCCGAGCTAACCCTGCAGGCAACCAGACAGCTGTTGTAGGTGCTGACGTGATAAGAAGTTGGACCCTCCATGGCGCTTGTGCCCACTGTTCCCACTGGTGAGGAATCATAGGGAGGAAAATACACAAACCCTGGGGAGACCCATTTGCACAACCATATTTACCACTGAATTACTCAGAATCCTTGAGAGTTTCAACTCTGAGCTCCAGGGTCTAATGCTAAGAGGTTCTGGGAGAAGGGAAGGAGCCAGAAAAGATACCAAAAAGGAGTGACGCGGGAGGCAGGAGGAGGAGCAGGGAAGTGTGGTATCCTGAAAGTTAAGTAAAAAGTACCTCAAGTAGGATCCTAGAAACGACATCAGGAAATGGTCTTGTGTGGCGAGAAGAGCAAGTTTGCACTGAAGGATATAAAATAGGACTTTAATAAATATAATAATAAATAATAGGACATCCTATCCTGGATAAGATTTAGTATAGCAAGGATGCTCATTCTTCTTAGATTAGCCTTTAATTCAATGTAATCCCAATAAACACACATACACACCCTCAAATTGATGGGATTTAATAAGATTATTATAAATCTGGAACAATAGGTATGAAAGAACAGAATGAAATTTTCTGAAAAGGAAGCATAATCAGTGGGACTTACCTTACCCTTTTCCCAAACCATGTTGTAAAGTAAAGTAATGAAAACCACAAAAGAGATATGGAATCTGAGAACAGGACACAGAGTGGAGGTATAGACCTGAGGATCCTTGGCTGGTTGGCATACAACGAAGTTGGTGTTTCACATTTGGGAAGGAAATGATGAATTATTCAGTAAGTTGTATCTAAATTGGCTAGTCGTTTGGATTAAAAAAGTCAAGCTAGAAACTATCCTTGGGTTTTTACTACCAGATAAACTTCCGAGCTAGATCAAAGATGAGAAGAGAAAAAAACTGATCTGTAAATCCATGCAGTATTGAAAAAAACAAGAGACTATTTTAGCAAACTTTAGAGAAACTAAAGGAAAAGGCAGGCAATTTAATTGCCTGAATATAGATTTCTGTAGAGCAAAAGAAGTTGTAAAGTTAAAAGATAAGTATCAATGTGGAAGAAAAACTTTAAAAATGTGTATGAGGGAAAGGGTTCATATCATGACTTTTAATTTGGCGTAGGGATAAAGTTGGGGGTTAAATAAATATTTAGGTGGGGGAGGAAGAACCTTAGATTCTGTCCACTCCCATTTCCTGCAGGTGTCCTCCTCTCTGAACCCCCACTAGACAGTAGCTTCCAGGTGGGCAGGCTGTGCCACAGGGATGTTCCCAAGTACCAGGAGCTGAATGCTGCCCCTCCACCCCCAACCAATCCTCCACCCCAGAAGGCCCACCCTGGACCCTCTGGCTTTTTTCCCTCCCCCAATGGTAATGATGGGGACCAGGAGGAGTCCTGTGAGTCCTCTTCCCCTCAGACAGTGCTCATATGGAACTTGAGGCCATGCTGGGCATCTGAGCTGGAGGGGGCGGGGCTAGGCCTGGTGGGTGGGGGATGAGGTGGGGTGCAGAGTCCCAGGGTGGGGTGTGGTGAGGAGACGTGGAAATCATGAGCAGCATCTAGGAGGGGAGTCGAGGGAAGGAAGATTTGGGGGTAGGGGCCCCAGGCAGGTAAGATTCAGGAGCAGAGCAGAGGTAGGGAGCAGAAGGGGGTGTCATAGGCCCCAGAGCTGTCACTTTGCACTTCCAGTCCTCCAATTTGCAGTGAGTTCCCTTTGCTATGGGGAAGTTACCCTCATGTCCTGTTTTTAGGAAATAATGTGACGTGTGAAAGCCCATCTTGAGACATTACTTACTTCTTTGGTTCGTTCATTCGACAAATGATGTATTGATTATTAACTCTGAGCCACAGGGAGCCAGGCTCTGGGATAGTCTCCATTCCTTTGCATTTATAAATTTTAAGGCAATGTGAGAATGTTTGGATTTAACATGGAAAAATCACAAATAACAGTGTTCTCTGCCAGCTCTAATTTGCTGCCTTTCATGGGGGTCAGACAAACGCAGGGTGTGGATTTCCACCTTAAGTTTATTGTACCTGCTGTGTGCCAGATGCTGGGTGAGGCACTGGGAGTACACTGCTGATGATCCTTAATCCTTGCTTATTAATTTAATATGAGGCCCCCAAACCAGGGTCACACAGTATCCAACATGAAACAACCTTTGGAAGACACAGTCTGTTCCAAAGCAGCTGAGATCAGTTGCCTTTTTGGCATTTGATTTTTGATGCTGGGACAAAAAAAGGGGGGGGATGGGGAGACTCTTACTATAAATGCAGCTGTTTAATACACTGTCACTTTGTAAGGGTCCCACTGAATTTTTGATGGAGAAGATGTTTTTGTCTGGGTCCAACTTCAGGACAAAGGGAAATGTACTGAACACAGGGCAGAGTTGATAGTGTTTAAAAACATGTTCAAAGATCTTATACTTTGTAACTGAGTTGATGAGCAATAATGGAGGAATTCCTGACACAGCAGGGTGAGCCTGGCTAAGCGGTACCCACTGACAACTGGGAGGAGGGGCCTTTATTCCCCAGTAGAATGCAGGCTGGATTTCAATTCCACTCACCTCCTTTACGCAGTACGCAACCTATACATCTGTGCATGGTCGCCTTGGCTTTGAGCTCCTAAGCCTCGGTAATGGGGTCCTCCCTCAGGCTTTGCCTCTCCAGCTGTATCCAGACTCTCTCTGCCATGTCCTATATTTTCTACCAGTAACTAACTTCATGGGGCACTCCGCACGTAACAGGCTACTTCCCACCATTCTGCCCTTCCAGGGAGGGTCTTTATCCTGTAAGTCCATCTGTACTCCTTCCATCCTCCCTTCTTGCCTCCTGCAGCCTCCACCTCCAACACCTGCAGCCCCTGGGTAACCCCCTTTGGCACTCACTGCCCTCCACTGTGGTGTCTGCCCACACATCAGTCTAAATGCAGCCACTCTGCAGCAGGGGCCACATCTGCCATCTTGGTAGCCTGCCCCAGCCCTGGACCTGGCCACAGAGAAGAGCAGGAAATAGAATCAGATGAGGGAATGGCTTCAGCCTCAAAAAGTGGTTGATAGGATGGAATGAATCCCTACTGATAGATTCATTCATCATGACTTGCTGGTTCAACAAATACTCTCCGAGCACATGCACTGTGTGCCGGGCCCCGTGCTGGCCCCTGGTGCACAGGGAATAACAAGACACAGTTTCTGGCTCTGCCGGAGCCCCCAGCCTTAGCTTCCACACACATCACTGGGACAGAAAGAGAAGTGTGAAGTGGTGGTTCTGGTTGGAGCGGTGACAAAGGGAAGAAAAAGGCCTGTAGAGCCTCCAATGGGCCTAACCTGGCAGGTGCGGGGTGAGGAGCCCATGGCTCTGGGAGCAGAAGAAGCAGCCTGGGCCTGGGGCTCTTCTCTACCCTCTTGGAACCTTTCAGAGCCTAGGCCTTGCTCTCAGGTGACCAGCTCGGCCAGCTTGGGCCAAGCACTGCACCCCCACACCCCCACCTGCCAACTTCACCTTTGGGGAGGAGGAGCCTCCAAGGCTGAATGACACTGGGGCCCCAGATGTGGTCAGAGTACCTGGGGGGGCCTGCCCTTAGCGCCAGCCCCTTGCTGTCAAGTGCAGAGGCCAAACCAGAGCCAGGGGCAGCCAGGATCGCTTTCTGGGCCAGCGTTAGGCTGCTTGCTAAAATTTGAAGAGCCCATCTGCTCACCCACTGCGGCTAGAGTTGCCATTTTAATAACCAAGTTTAGGAGATTCAATTAAGATTGGGAGCCTCATCCCTCTTCCAGGTAGGCCTTACAATTGGTGTTTTTCTTTGCGAGAGCATGAGTGGGGCCCTTTGCAGGGGTTTTTGTACAGCAAGCAGTGCAGAGAGAGAGAAAAGAGAAAAACAACTTTGGTTCAAAGATGCCAATAATAGGGGATTTCTTCTCTCGGGCTCCCCATGGAAGGTTGTCAACAGTGCAGGCATAATCAGGCCGGCGACTGCCCTGCTCGGAGAGGGGGACGTGTGCTCCTTTGTTACGATGGACTGAATAGGATGTCCCTGCACCCAGACCTGGCCTCCCAGCTAACAAAGGGCCCCTTTGTCACCCCGGGCAAAGAGTGCTGCAGAGGTTGCCACAGCAACTCAGGGACACAGACTTAACGTGCAAGGACATTTCAGATGGGAAGCGGGTATTCAAAAATTCAAATTTCTTTATGTATAGTGGTTTCCTTCTCTGGGTATTTTTAAAGAAACCATATAGCAAATGAAAAAAAAAAATAAGCCAATGATAAATATAAAACCAAGCAAACAAACATCACAGCAAGTCAGCTGCTGGTTCTTCCTCTCTCAATGGGTAAAAAGCCATCATTGGGGCCCCTGAGTAAGCTGTGAGTTCTTCTTACCCAAAAGACAATTGGACATCATTACAGAAAGTTTGAAAAAAAAATTCCACCTGCTGGACCCAGGACACTTTTTCCTTGTCTTTGTGTCAGTGTTCCCTAAGTGACTGTGGATGATCCACTTCATACCAGGCCAAGAGCTGGGGCAGGAGATGCAAAGATAAATCGGGTTCTTGTCTGCAAGGTTGACGGTCTGGTGGGGTTCCTGTGTGCATGTGATCTCCATACAAGCGTACTCTCCTCGGCCCTTAGTTGGGGTCCAGACAGTCCCCATCAGAGGGAGTAACCGATGTTGTATGGGGAAAGGGGGTGAGCAGAGCTTGTGGGAGGAGGAGGAACCTGAGAAGTGATTTGCTGCCAAGGGGCACTTTGTTGCTATTTGCTGGATGAAATGGGGGGGGGAGGGAGGAAGAGGGGGGAAGGGCTTTCTCTGCATTCTTTTAAAGGGGAAAGCATAGTAAACAGCAGCGTGCAGGCAAAAGTGACAGACACAAATGTCTTCTCAGAGTAGCCACCACGATGCACAAGACATTTCCCAACACTTTATTATGACAGTTTAACAAACAATGTTGAAAGAATATTACAAATGAACACCTGTATATCCACCACTTGGATTCAGCCATTAGCATTTTACTCTCCTGGCTTTATCATCTATTCATCTATCCAGCCATTTCTCTA